AAAAGGTTAATTAGCATTATATAGTGAAAGTAATGATTCATGAACCGAGAAACAGACCCCTTAGCTTAGCAGCCATTTACTCACCACTCACCACAGACAATGCACCTAAAAAAAAAGCTAATTAATTAGGTTGTATTTTAGTTTGTTCTTTAGATTAAATGTTGACTTTGAAGTGAGTTCATCAAACATTGCCATAAAGGGATGATTCACCTTTTTCTTTTTTCTTTTTATAAAATGATTTAAAGATTTTTATGAAAAAGCAAATTCTAATGTAGAATATTATGCCACGTCCACAAATTGCAGTTGTAATGTCGTTAAAATGGGGGAAATATATAAATCTTATCACAACTAATGTAGATATGCTTTTTTAGTGTCTCATTGCTACTTTTATTTTACTTATTATTATTATTATTATTAGTATACACTGCTATTTATGTACCTATCTAATCATGCCGTCTCATCTTTCAGACTGTAGGGGAGTGTGTTTTTTTATTAATTTTTTTTTAATTTATTTATTAAGAGTGGATAAAATCAATTTTTTTAGAAGTGTAAAATCAATTCTTAATTTCATTGCAAAAACAATCGAAAAAAAATAAGAATTCATAATTTAAGAAATTAGAATGGGATAAAATGTTAATCCAAAATTTTCGGATCAGAATCAGTGGAAATCTACATTATATTTCATCAAAATGGAATTTTGGAATTATTTAAAAAAAAAAATAGAATCGGATCGAAAACCAGAATCTCGATATATTCTTCTTTAAATTAAAAAAATAATCAGAAATCCATAAATTAGAATGTTCGGAATTCAGAATAAAAATACTATTTTAACTAATAAAAAAAATCCGGATTAGAATCGACGAAAAATAAAAAATAAAAACTGAGGGCTAAATGGGCAAAGATTGGGAGACAAAATTGGACCGTATTTGTAGCTGGCTTTGAATTAAGCACATATATAGTAGGCCCATTTACAGTTAACCAATTACAATGGCCCATTATAAGAAGCAAAATTAATCTTGATAAGATTCTGTTTGGTTCAAATTTCTGAATTATCATCTTTAGTGGTGAAAAGGGGTACAAGACAGGACTCATGGGAAGATTACGTCCATGCAAATTGACTTTTTAAATCCATGGTCCTTACGAAAAGAAAGCAACCAAACATGTTACAAATACATCCAAACAAATAATATATATATATATTATTTAAAAAATTCAGAATTGAGTGTGTATGTGTATGTAGGAAAAAATGGAGGGAGGTGATCAAGACATGACATTTGGATAGGGGTGGGGGATGATGACACGTGTGCATCACCCGTTGGTTGATGAAGTGAGTGATATATACTGGCGAGCTGATGATATTAGATATATATGGGCCAATTTGCATGTGGACTGCTAACTGATGTTATGATTTAATTTTAATTAATTTTTGGGGGCATGTTAAATGAACAAGTTTAATTTTGTCTCTTAATACCAAACTCGATGTGAACAAAAACTAATGATTTGATAAGCACTTGTAGTTGGATTAGTTGTATTGTGGACTTCATTTAATTTATTGTTCCTTTAGCTAGAATTGATGGTCCCATCTCTAATTTCTTTTATTGAAAATATATGTCTATAAAGATTTACTCGTTTTTGTGTTGACACAGATTAATTGTTACGATAGTTACTATATTTCTACAATAGTTCGTGTGTTTTAACGAAATCTAACTTATAAAGACAATTATAAACACTATATTTAATCTTGTTTGGACACAAATATGGCCTACATCAACGAGGAGCTGAAAGCAAGACATCAGTAATTTGTGTTAAAGTGTACAATAATTCGAAGGCAACGATTTTTTTAATTTTCAAGATTATATTCATAAAAAGAATGAAATAAACTCGAATACTAAATTCAAAGAAAGATTGAAAGCCACACAATTATGTGGCTCATATATATACATATAGGGTTTTTGGTATGGGACCTTATATACAACCTAACGAGTACAATTGTCAAACAGATAGCTTGAACGAAACGACCAAAAATGCGACTTCTATTAAAAGATGAAAGCGCCTTTTGATGCTATAACGACAAAGACTTGTGACATAGAAAGCAAATCCGATCTAAAATGACAACTTGATTTTCCTTATATTTGAATGTGCGTACACCACTAATAATCTTTTCAAAAAAAAAAAAAAAAATCTTATAAATAATTACACACACACGTAAAAAAATATGAACTGGCAATTACTATATATACACATATTTTAATTTGCTTTATTTTCATCTAAATCTAACACTAATAGAAACGTTGTATAAAAATATCTAATGTCGTGTTATTGGCATCATTTAGCACTTTTAGCAAGCAGTGTACACACGTGAGACCAATAATAAACATTTAAATGCAACAATTTAATACAGCCAAAAATATCAACACTATATAGTTCACCAATAAAATATAAAATTAATGCTCCAACTTTTTGAAATAGGTGATGTCACAACGCACGAGTCACCAGTCCATTACAACTATCGTTTGTAATTATTCAAATTTGACTGAAAACTCAGAACGGGGTCTAGTTGTGTACTAAGTGTCTAACGACCTGATTTCGATTTATTTCGTCAATATTTTGTAGTTTGAACTTTTGAACTCGTTATAAATGAATTGCCAATCAATGAAGTTTATACATTTGTTTGCGGTTTAAAAATAATTTAAGAAAACGGTGTTTAACTAATGTACGTATGTGGTTCAGTGTTTTTTTATAAAATGAAGCATCGAAAAGTACCAAAAATATATAATTGAAGAAATTGTAGTTATAATTATTCGCGATGCACGTATGCTAATCAATGTATAGTATAATTTTAAACGATTTTAGGATCCGAGAAGCTTAAGGATAAATCTACATAACATTTTAAAAATTGATTAATCAAATCAAAACTAATCCCCACCAAATCAATCTCTAATATGATGAGCATCCTAGGAAAGAAATTTCTTTACTTTGCCCCCACAAAAAGTTATTGTTAGATGCTATATTCTGCAAATTTCGTCGGGTAAGATTTTAATTTACTCCAGACATTTACATATAGGTATGCGTGTTTGTGTGTAAATTTATAACACAAAAATAACTATGTAAAATACAAAACCACCACAAAAACACAACAATCAATAGATTAACTAACATGGGAAGGATAAAAAGCTTGCTTCAATCTACCCCACACTCCTTTATGATTAGACCACTAAAAATTTACATCAAGTGGGAAGAAGAACACCAATTTTGAATATAAAAAGAATAAATCAATATAAATCAAGAAAATTTGCACTATTTAACATGTAAAAAAACTACTAAAAAGCAAAAGAAATGGGATTTAGCATAAAGCACTAATTTAGAATCATTAAGAGTGCATTTAATTTGATTATTATAAAAAGGGGAGCCCCTCCAAACCATTACACTCAATCACTTCAAACACCCTTCCAAGTTTCTCTCAACACAAAAAACCTAAATCAAAACAAACAAAATGCTTTCATCAAACCCTAACAAGAACTCACTCCAATGGAGGAAAAACTCCGGGGAGCTCGACGTTTTCGAGGCGGCAAAGTACTTCTCCGCGGCCAACGAAAACGAGCAAAATTCAGACAACGTCCTTAGCGGAACGAATCTTTCTCAGGCAATCATCGTCAGAGAAGACAGACAGAATATTCTCCGACGATCCCGATTGAGCCTGGATTTGATGCCGAACGACAATCCAATCTCTCATCAAAAGATGATCGTGAAAGAGAGACATCAGCCAACTTCTCCAGGTGGCAAGCTGGCTAGTTTCTTGAATTCCCTCTTCAACCAACGACACTATTCGAAGACGACGAAGAAAAAGAACAACAAGTCGAAACCCGAAAAAGATTTCGATGACGAAAATACCCCTGGTGGAGGGAGAAGGAAAAGAAGAAGCAGCATTAGCCATTTCATAAGAATCACAAGTAGCAACAACAATAATAATCACACAACTTATCCGAATACTCCGGCAAAACAGGTTATTATCTCCTTGCCTAAAAACACCGGGAACTCGAACCTGAATCCCGCGTCGATGGATTACGAGTGCGTCAAAGAGAAATCCAGGTTCAGTAACGGCGTTTTCTCCGACAAAATATCGAGAAACGGGAGTTTCGGATTTTCGAGTAATAAAGATGATTATGAAGGTGCAGAGAGTGATTCCAGCTCGGATTTATTCGATTTACCGAATCACGAACTGGATTTCGGCTCAAGTGATCTGCCTGTTTACGAAACAACACGTGTGAACATAATCAGGATTGCTAAACCGATTTCCAGGGCTACTACTACTACTACTGCAGTTTAGTGATTAAATACATATTAGTAGTTAATTATTCATTAATATATTGTTTAATTTTGGGATTAGTTCTTGTTATTGTAATATTTCTTCATGATTGTGATCTGGGAGTCAAGAATCAGGCCTTAGATTCTTCTGCTTCTTTCTTTATATATGTACAGTTTGGAATTAATGCTACTCTGTCTTAATTTCTACTCTTTTTATTTATTTATTTATTTATTAAGTATTCTAATTAATGACTAATGAGTCATTAAAGTGCACTAAAAACAACTGTTAGATATAATTGGGCATGATTAGAAATCATGCAGTTTTTGTTAATGGGCAACAACGCATGTGAATATGTGGATTGTGATTTAACCTTTTGTTATTATCTTACTCTGAGATTAGGCATAAGTAATGATAGTTATTAATTAATTAAGTATATTTTGTTTTTTTTTTCCCTAGCTACAATACAGAAATTTCGTGGTTGAAATTTGCAGATCTAATTAGCACAAACAATGCATGTACAATATTATGGAACAAAAACAAATGTCTTGTCATTATCTAAAACCAAATTCCTGCCTACTAATTACAGACCATTTTATCTTAATCAAACTGTACCCTCATCACACTTTTAGTTTAATTAAAAATATTAAAAATATTCAAAAACCCTGTCGAACCGGCCGGTTTTCAAAACATTGCTCACAATAATTCAGGATGTTAAATTACATAATCTTAAAATAAAATTAACCCAATTCCCCCATAATATAATCGATTTTATTTTGGGCTTCTTAATTTAAACCCAAAATGGGCCGAAATAAATGAAAGGAAGGCTTTGGGCTTAATAAGAAACATAATAGTAGTAGTACTATTTATAATTAAATAATGTCTGATCTCAGATAAATGAAACTACATAAGGAACAAAATCACAGTAAGTAATTAATTATATTTCCTAATTAATTTGCCGTAATTAAACCAGGAATTAGATCTCTTGGCAGCACCTCACTTTTTCTTCAGTCTTGTCCCATGTCAATTAAGCCTACGTACACACACAGAGATATTCAAGAAATTAACAAAAAATAAATAAATAAATAAAATTCAAGAAAAAGTAAAAGATTGGATATTTACATTATTGTTAATTACTGGATCTGGAAACAGGCCCTTGTGGGGTGTTTGGAATGTACCTAGACCACTGTCAAAAATAAAATAAAAATATAAAGTTATATGTGTATTATATGTAATTAGGGTTTCAATCACGATCGAACAGATATAATTAATTAATTAATTAGAATACTGTTGTAACTTACATTTTTGGCAGCAGCACTAAAAGCCTCACGATGTGGCACCTCTGGATTGGCTGCTTTGATGCGCTGTATCTCCTCTCTTAATTCACACATAAATAAATAATTAATAAATTAACATATATTTAATAAAAAAAATGTGAAGAGTTTATTCATACTTCATGAAGATGTTGTAGGCTGATGGAAGCCTGTGCCTCTTCTCTGGAGCTGCAAAATTATTTCACAACAACACTCATATATCTATACACATATAGATACACAAATATATATACACATATAGATATATATATAGATAAATCGTACGTACGTTTAACAACAAATGGAGTAGTAGTAGTAGTAGTAGTGTTTAGGGATAAAGAGGTCTCGTCGCTAGATGTATTATTATTAATGGATGAAGAAGAAGATGAAGATGTTGCAGACTGCCCCTTCTTATGTTCACGACTGGTCAAACCCTGTTTTCACCAACATACATATATTATACATATATAATACATACATATACATATACATATAAATATATAATACATGATATATATATACATACGTGAAGACGAAGGGTTGTTTGAAGATCGTGGAGTGGAGGCGGTTTGGTGCTGAGGAAGGAGAGATTGCTGCAGTGCCCGCATTTCACTGTCACTGTTTCCAACATTTGCTTCCGTGGAATCTCCACCTATATTTATATACATATATTAATAAGTTATTACAAAATTAAATATTATTTAAGGTAAATGATCTGTTCTCAGTTTCATGTCCGAATTTCACATGCCTCACTTATTCTGGAAATCAATTAACAAACGGAGAAATTAATATATTTATATATGTAAGAAAGTGATATATGGAAACTTGTAATTTCCACTTTGACACAAAGTGATGGAGATACATATATTGTATATATATATATATATATATATATATATAGACATGTAGAAATATATATGGGAATAGAGAGCTGTATATACATGGATTTTGCATGCAGAGCTATGTATATATATATGTATGTATGTATGTACCGCAAGAATGGTGTTGCAGAAGTTGCAGCGGACATAGCAAATATGTTCAGATGAGTATTGAACTAAATCCATGGTGATCATATATATGAAGAGGAAGAAAACACTTGAGAGATCATATGTATGTTTATATAGAGGTACATATATATAGACAGATAGATATGAGAGAAGTGAAGTTTTCTAGGGTTTAGTGATATGTAAAATTTGAAAGTAGCTAGCAGACAAACAGGGTCGGGACCCCACTATAGATATCACATCATATGCATTGGATCTTCTCTTTCCATTATTCATTCATTAATTACCTCGAAAATACTATGTAAGGTACATACTGCATACATTTAAATTATATTATGTATATATATAATTAAGTTGCAGTGCATGGTACATATGAGCATGTGGTCATCAGCAGAAAGACTAGCTATCAAAATGAATCACTTTATATATATATATATATATATATATATATATATATACATGAAAAGGGTTTGAATTTTGAGTTGAATTGAATGGGGGGTGATTTGGAGCAAAAATGAAAAAAAGTGGGTGCAAAAGTAGTAAAAAGAGAAAGATGAAATGGACAAGAGCAACAAGCATTGGTCACAATCATGATGATAAAAATGCAAAGTTATATATAATTTTAAGTGTCATTTAGTTGATGGGACTTATCTTTTAATTGCCAAAATTGCAAATTAGTCCAATTTCGAACTTGGTTTCCACAACTTTCTTTCCTGGTGTAAAATTCAACTTTATTAATATTGCATCATCTTTAATTATTTTGATATATATATGTGTGTGTGTGTGTGTGTGAAATAATGGATTGAATGAGGGCCACAAGATTTGCTGCTGTATATCTTCTTCCTGGGAAGGTTGCAGTAGATGAAAAATAAAGATGATGACTTTAATTAAAAAAAAAAAAAATGAAATGCATGCATGCGTTAAATGTTTTATATTGAATTAGGTATAATAATTTGGTCTATGGTGGCGCTGTTTCTTATCTATTTAGGGTAACTTTGATTGGACACATCTATATTCATATATTTGCAGATCTTCCACACCATCTCACCACCACCGTATTATATAACAAAATAAATAAATAATAATAAAATGGTAAAAAATAAATAAATAAATAAGGTTTGGTTTCACTTGGTTTTTCTAGTAATGCGTTTACTTAATTTGCTCGTGTGATTATTCGTGCTGTTGATGCAATCCAACTAAACTCATTTTTTTGTTCTTTCTAATTTTTACATAATATAAATTTTTATTTTTTTTATTATATCTATTCATGTACATGAAATTTATTTAAGAATACATACATGTAATTATTTCTACTCAATGTTGCTGCCCTAACAACGTAGTCAAACATATCATTAATTCTTGCTTTTAAAAAAAACAAAATCAATCAAAAAATTAAAATAAAGCTCGAAAATGGCAAGTAAGATTACGAAAAAAACTTAATAATATCGAAATAAATATGAATCCAACGTTACAACCGCAATAGGAGGAGAAAAAACAAAATGCTTGAATCTAATCCGGAAACATTACCAAACCTCGTTCCACAGCAAAATCGTAATAAATTATAAAGATACTGAAAAGAAAATAAAACCGAACCAAATACTCTTTAAATATGATTCCGGGGGCCTATTTTGCAGCGACCTTCGCCACGTCAGCAGAAGGGTTGAGCTCATCCCAAGCTTCGATCCACGTCACCATAGCATCAGCGAGCTTTGTGAAGTAAGGATCGATGGTTGAAAGCTTCTCTTTGACAAGCTTAGCAAGCTCAAGATAGCACTGTTGAACAGTAGTGCATTCTTTCGGGATAGTCAAATTTTGGAAAAACGGAATGATGTCTTCTTGCCAATAGATACCTTTGTACTCCTTTTTAAGGTTCACAAACGGGTTGCTCGCTTTGCTGTGCCATATGTATGGGAGACCCGTTTTCACTCCAAGATTCAAATGGTCGCATATCACCTGGGAAATTTTCGGATAATTTTATTAATTTTCACCTTCTCGTTGAAGTAAAATTAAACAAAAAAACGGGAGTAATCTTTACAACAAGTTTCGGAATTTTATTAATTTCTAACTTCTTATGTTTATTCTAATTGCTAAAACACCCTTATGATTCAATTTTTTTAGCAAACTGCCCCCTAAAATATATTATCTAGGGGGTTGGGTGCTAAAAACAATTGCATTGTAAGGGTTTTTTTGCTAATCTTAATCGCATGTGGAGTTTTTTAGCAATTCGATATAAAACATGGGTACTAAATGCAATAAACACAAAATCTTTATCTTGAGAAATGGCGTATGTGATGATTAATGTTCGGCAATTATTTCAAACTCATAATAACAAATTGATTAAGCTTATTTGGATGGACTAAATTTACGATGAATTTTCGAATGGTTAGCTCCGTATACTAGTTTCTATATTCTTGATGTTGATTTGAGAATCATTCTACGCAGACCCGATTGAAATCACACTTTTTACAGAGTAATTCACATATTAAATTTCAATAAGCAAAACGTTATAATTTAAATCACGTCATTAAGTTGCAATAAGCAATCGAAGGTTTAATTAAATTACCTTGGTGCACCAGCCAGCCCACATGTCATCGTAACGCCCGATCGGCTGACCATCGCCCATGAGCCCAAAGTACATTGCGGGCCCAATCAAATCACGGTTGAACCCCAAATTCATACCACACATTGGGAAAATCGTTCCCTTTGGAATAGTCAAAACAGCATCCACATATCTAATTGTCGAAAAGATAAAGAAAACAGAGTTAAAGAAAACAGAGTGAGGAAAAAAAACAGAGTGAGTAAAGAAAAACAGAGGAGGGGCAAACCTGGTATTTCTCTCACGGGGCTTAACGAGCTGAGTTGGCGCATCGTAATCCGGGATATTGAGCCAGAGACCGTGAGAAACGGCAGTGGGCACACCCTCACGTAGGCTGAAAGGGTATCCACGAACAAAGTCCGCTCCGTCTCTGTACGGGTCGTAAAGAGTGTTGAAGAAGAGTGGAGTTGATGGGCTCAAGAGATTCTTGATGTGCTGCTCGAGGGCATTTATGTCATTTCCAGATGGATCCTTGGCAACCTAACAAAGACAGATCATTTACATCTTTCAGATCATGACTACCGAACACAGAAAGAAAATGCCTTCCGAATGATCAATTGAATAAAGATATCGGTCACAAGTTTGATATGATCAACTGAAATGCAGAATGTACTTTTGTGTAGAAAGACGGCATAAAGCGCATTGTCTACCAAGCTGTTGTTTATGCAATAATATTAAATTAGGGGACTAAAAATTCTATTTCTTTTACTATAAAATTTTTTTAAACAGAAACATCTTTGTCAAAGCATGTATTACAATACAAACACAGCAACATATGACAAACAATCTAAAAAATCTTGCAACATCACAACCAAATCATCGCCCCCCGAAGTTAAATTTGTAATGTGATTATACATAAAAATTGAGAACAAATTTTCTTAATCAGCAAATACCAACACAATTTCACATAAATTAAATAAAATTTGAACTTCCCCAGATCAGATCGGAGTTAATTTTGATGTAATTATACATATAAACAAATCCAATTTTCTGATTCAGCAAATACAAACACAATTATTACACATAAATTACATAAAAAAATGATCTTTACCAGATCAGAGTCAAAAACCCCCAAAAGTGTTCATCCAATTCATAAACCCACAAAAAAAAACCCATCAAGATCCAAACTTTACACAAACCCATTAAGAAATAAATCCAATCTCACATTACATCTGCAACCAATCACATTCATCAACAATAAAAAAGACTCAATTTTTAACACCAAAAAAAAAAAAGAAAAAGAAAAACAGAAAAAGAAATGTATACTTACAAAGCAATCATCATCAATGGTGTAGATATACTTCTTCTTGGAAACCATGTAACCAAAGCAGCGACAAGCGGAATCTTTGAAAGAGATGCAGGAAGCCTTCGGACCGAGGATTCTGTTGATGTCATTCCTATTGTAGAGTTCGTAATCGAAGCCTTCTGGAACCTTAATCACTTTCGAAGGATCGCCGTCTTGTACGATGATTAGATGGTACTGCTCGAAGAACGGCCTCCACATCTCCAGAAAATCTAGGTTTCTTATTGTCGGTATCACTATATCTAACTCATCTTTCAGCAGAGGGGTTGGTTTCTGCGCTGCCGCCATTGTTGCTGCTCTGCTTTTTTCTTTGAAAGAGGAGAGAGAGAGGGGTAGAGAGAGAGAGAGATTGGGGAAGATGGTCGGTTTTATAGAGGAGGAGAAACAGTCCGAGTTGTGATGGAAGATGTCCTCTTCCCTTCCGAGATCTGTAGTAGTATTAATTTATTATTATTTTATAAATATTTAAAGAAAGATTAAATTTTTATTTTTTATATGGAATAATAAGATTTTATTAGGGATAATTTGGAAATTTGTTTTTGTTACTATTGGTAAATCTTTGGTATTGGAAACGTGAATAAAGCAATTACGATATTTAAACGGGCTATTACAAATAAACCCGTCTCGAGCTACTTATTTATAAAGAGGATCATATTATTTTGTTGTATAACGTGGAATTCGAATGAGATAAAACGAGTCATAATTTGAGAATATTTCACATAAAGATTTAATTAAATTTGGCAATACAAGGGTATTACATATAAGAAAATTCATAATTGAGGGTAGTTGTAATTATACAAACACGAGGGTTTTTTCGTAATTTAGCATTACATAAGGGGTGGCCGTAATTTACCACAATTTTATCTCCTTTTTATTTTATTTTAACTATTTGCTAGTAGAATAAAAAGAACATTTTTTAAAATTCAAATTTACCTTTTTAATTGTGCTACAACTGTCATGGGCTGTATTAAAGTGATTTTTTCTGAATTTTCCAGTGCCAATAATATGCTCGAATATTAATAATTTAATACTCTCTTTTTATCTAAATGAGCATATAAATGAAGGGCATGATTAAAATTAATTAAAACATTTAAAATCATAAATAAATGTTTTCTTTTTTAGTAATATTTCGTTTACAAGTAGGACTAAGATAGTGGAGCAAATATCAAATCCATATATATTTTATTACTATTATATTATTAAAGCCCTAATAATGGAGTAATAATATAGTTAGATATTTTTTCATAATTAATTGAATGTTCACAAATTAGTTGACCAATTCAGCTTCTGCCACTTTCTTATCACTACTCTCCAGTTTCCACGCGCAATTGCGACCTGTCACATTTCACACAGTACTTTTCCAAATTTCCAACTTATTTATAAATTTAATTAATTAATTTTCAAAGAATAAAAATAAAAATAAAAAATTGACCACCGCCAACCTTGACGATTGCTTGGAAACTGCCCCACTTCGTCCAATTGCATTTCCATGCACACCTCCTACGTGCTTAATTGCTTCAATTTCAACTCTTCAATTTATTAATTTGTTTTTTTTTTTTGGGACATAAATTAAGAATAACGAGAAAAAAAAGGATATACTTAGAATAATTAATTAGATAGAAGTAGTGTTGTGCTTGTCCATAACATGGTCACACTATTTATTTAGTTATGTTAGAACGTGGATTGACAGCCTGCAATTTTTGCACGTACTTTTCCATTCCCACGTTGGTTGCCCAAACAACCCTTTAAACTCACACCATCTTCTACTACCACATGCAACAAATTATAAATTTAAATTTAATTAATGATTAGTAGTACTAATTTCTTTAACTAACTAAAGTTTTACTTAATTGCACCAATTTTCTATTATTTAATTGGGCTCTGATTGGGCCAAGATCGTCATTTTGAGCCTGAGCCCGTCAACGTATTTTGAATTATAAATTCAGATGAATAAAATTAAATTACATCCCCTAATTTGGGCTTTATACCCATTTTTTTTTTGTTTAGTCCAGGCCCATATACGATCCTAAATGATCCGAAATCCGAATACACACTTCCATGTAAACTTTTTTTACACACATCATTGTGATTTCGACCATTTTCTAGTTTGATTTTGACAAAATTCAAGATACGAAAACTACATTCCTTTGAGTTTGCTTTCAAATCCAATTTGAATCGGCTGGATTGGATGTCGGATGACAAAGTTATGCGAACAACAGTTTCCCGTGTTTTGAGTTTTACCAAATTCAGCCTAAAAAATGGTCAAAACCACGTTTTTTTAGTCTTACCAAATTAAGTCGAAACAGTATTATTTAAACTGAAACGACATTCACAAGAGTGAATTGATTATTGTCAAAATTCAAACAAATAATAATTACCTTATTTCACAAATTAATCTCTAATTTTTTTTTAAAATAAGTAGAAATATGACCCCAAAACTGGCCAAACATGCCCTTCTCAAGTGAAATAAAATAAAACCAAGGAAAATCAGAAAATCTAAGTGGGCTCCACTGAAATACAGCACAATCATATGAAACCCTAGTTCATGGATTTGTTCGACCCTACACCCGGTGATAAACACCGGGTGGGTCTTCTGCTGCCACGTGTATTTTTTTTGTATTTTATAATACATTCCCCGCTAGGATTTACTTTTAGGAATTTTAGAAAAAAAAAAAAAAAAAAAGGGACACGTGGCAGAAGAAGACCCACCCGGATGTAGGGTCGAAGGAGCCCTAGTTCATGCACAGATTCCCATTCCACCTAAAAAAAGTAAGGTAATCATTACAGATTCTTCTTCACACGTATGTGATATCCATCTGGTGCCTCCACTCTTGGGAAGTATCTGATTCTCTCTCCTCCAACTTCTTCCCAACTAAATATAAATAAATCATAATCAATAATTAATTAATTATTACGAAGCAATTTAAGCATGCATTTAATTCTTGTTCACCTGTATTTTGTCACAAAATAATGAAGAAAAATAGAAATTGCAACTATTCCCAGTTCCTTTCCAGGGCACATCCTGCTTCCTCCTCCAAATATCAAGAAATAGTTGTGTGACTCCAAATTTTTATTATCCTACATATAATATTATTTATTATTGTTAGAATATTGTCGATTATTAATTAATTAATTAACTAAGTAATTAATTACCACTTACCAGCCATCTCCAGGGATTAAATTTTAGAGGTTCTGGATAGAGGAGTGGATCATAGTTGATCTCCCTTGTGTACACATAGATCCTCCATCCTTCTGGAATTACAAATCCTGATTTTATTTTTTGTAAATAAAGTTATGAGATTTTTAAAAAATTAAGTAAAATAATTAATATATTCAGAAAATTATGTATGCTAAAATGGAACTAAGTTAATTTCTGAATTATAATCATACCATTCAGTTTCATGTCTTGAGTTGTCTTCCTTAGGACTCCATTTGTGATAGTAGCCAACCTTAGAGTTTCCAAAATTACCTATGTCCAAATAAAAAAAAAACATCATAGTATTGATGTTACAGAAGTATGTTAATTAATCAACCAACATTTAATTAATTGTGTTAGTATACTAACTATATAGCAAATGGCAGCTTACAGCACGTGTGAATCTCATGGACTTGTAGTCATCCCAATCCAGTGTCTGCTCTTGATCCGATTTTCTCTCCCGAATCGATAAATGCTCGTCCTGAATTGAAGAAAAAAAAAACGAGGCTTAGTTCTTTTATTTATTGAAAAAAATATATACAAAAAATGTTCTAATAATAATATGATATATTCACCCTTAGTTCTTGAAGAGCTTCTTGATTATCATGGAGGTACTTGACAGCCATCATTGAAGTAGTAGACTCAGTTTCGTAACCCGAGTACAAAATCGTGACTATCTGATCGATAATTTCCTCTTCTTTTAGGGCGAATTTCGTCTCTACTAAAAAATGATCTAGCATGTCTTCGTAATTATTTTCCGAGGAAGCCCTTCGCTTTGCTATTATTTCTTTCAAAACCTTGACCACATTTCTCCTTCCCTACAATTAAAATCAGATCTTAAGCCAGGAATTTGGAGTTTATTGAATTTAGTCCCCTATGTTATATCGAATTGCTAAAATACCCTTCTAGTTGAGTTTTTAGGGGTGGTTTACTACAAAATATTGAATCATGGGGGGGGGGGGGGGGGGGGGGTTGGTAATACATAAAATAATATGGGGAGTTTTTTAACAATTAGAGAAAATACAGGGGGTGTCAAATGCAATAAACCCCACAATTTTGTAACCTACATGTATTTGAGTGATATATATATATATATATATATATAAAAAAAACCTTAAATCCATGGTAATAACTTGTGCCTGGAAAGTTGATGGGAAGAGAAAGAGACCCAATCACCAATTTATCGAACTCGGATTTAAAACCGTCGTAAATCGAATCCGATTCATCTCCAAAGATCAGTTTAAAGGCCATCAAGAATACCATCTGCACGGAAAATCGTTACAACAATCTTCGAATGAACTATTATCATCGATCAAAATAAATAATTATATCAAAACGAATAATAAGAACTTACATCCATGGTTTTCTGTTGAATGTTAATAGTGGTAGCATCATCCCAATCGGAGAGGTGAGTCCGGATATAGTAATCAATCCTGGGGAAAAGCTTATGTTTGATAATAGGGATTCCGATAAGGGATAAAATATTTTGGCGCATGTATTTATGAGTGGAGCCATAAACAGCAGCAATATTATGGTTTCCGAGTATATCTAACATGGATTTAGGATATCCAGGAATTAATCCCTTCCCTTCATTCATTAATATGTATCTATTCATCTCTTCGTCCATCGATATTATCGTCGGACTCCCCAATATATGTGTCTTGAATACTTTCCCATACCTATTAATTAATATATTTCCCAAATTAATTCAATCAATAATTAAAATGGACTCAATAAAAATCATTAGCAATATATTAAAAAAAAAATCAAGTGATCAAAATGATCTCAATCTGAACCATGATTTCATGCACACAGTCTACACATACATGAAATACAAAATCTTGTACTAAAAACAAAAATATATTGTAAGAATAAGTATATCTAAATATCTATCTATCTATATATATATGTATGGGAATTAAGTAACCTTGCAGATTGAGATTTGATGAATTTGGGGCCATGATTCAAAAAATCATTAGTTTCTCCGAAAAAAGGGAAACCCATATTTCCCGGAGGTAACCCTTTGATGCGGTATCTAATTTGATTCCATTTCGACAAACAACAGAAGCACAAGATAAGAACAAAAGATACCACCACCACCATCAACAAAACCGCCATTGTTGCTCCCAAGAAAAAAGCTTTCTGCAGAGAGTAAATGAATTTAGTAATTCTAGATTGCTTTCTGTC